ATAAATAATGTTTATTTAAAATTTACATTAATTGTTTCATGAATTCAAGATTGGGGTAATGGTTAAAAAAGTTCCCCGACCGCTGATCTACATTAATCCCTCTCAATAGAAAAAATTACGAAATTTATAGATTTTTAAAATATTTCTTAAATTGTTCTAACGTAAAAACTACAAAGATTTACCTGCAAATTAATAGAAAAACTATTCATCAATTATCTGAACTTTATTATGCACAATCACACAATCCTAATCACCAATTAATTTCAGCAAATTCCTGGCATTATTGATACTATTAAACTTTGTCTAAATTTATATTATCAAAAGAATCTTCATAAACAGGAATAATTTACATAATTATTTCCAGTAAGCAAATACATTTAATGATACTTTAAAACATTTTTTTTAAATTCAAATTTTAAATTAAATTCAATTTTTAGCTAATTCATGTGTCTCTCTCGATTGGTTAAATATAAACCAGAAAGGCAATGAAAGAAAAGCATTTTAGTTGCATTCATTCATTCAAGATGCGCGTCTCCTCTGAGCGGAAAGTTTTAATTAAAATTCCCCAATTCCTCGACTTAATTATTTCGTTTTAATCGTTCTGTCCGCTAATTTACAAGTAAAACTAATTTCAAGTTTTCCAAATATAAATACAGCTGTAGTATTTATTAATTATTAAACGCAAATATTTTGAATATCGTTTGAATTCTTCTAACAATTCAAATTTTAAATAGTTTATGACCCGGCGCATCCACACACAATATTTTTATCCTGCTGAAAAATTAGTTTATCGAAAACTTGTAGAAATAAAAAAAATCTATATTATTTCTTTATTTACATAACATTTGCAATATATTTTATTTATAATCAAAAGCGTACATTTATTATCTAAATTTAATTTAAACTTTCTTCAAACTAAAATATTGAATCGTTTTGAAATTAAAATGTTGTCAATTAAGACTGTAGCAGATGTTTTAATCAATTTAAGTTTAAAAAGTCGCACATTTCATTATGTGCACGCATTTACTATTTTTTTTCTTCTTTTCTTACACTGCGTCGCAGTTACCAGCAATTAAGGAATTCCTTCCAAGCCAATTGCAATTTTCTGCGAACGCTCATTGCGAGAACACATGCGAAGGTTAAATAATTTAAACCTAAGTTTATCGTTATTTTGCATACTTTCTCGCTTACGAAACTAAAAATTGAAATTAATTGCTCTCAATTATGATTAGTTGTTAAGTTTAAACAATTTTACAATTGCGTTTTTTCTTACATAAATTGAACAACAATTTTATTAGAAATGTTATTTTTTTATACAAACATTATTAATTTAATTAAATCAAGCATTCGTGTTGCGAGCGACATCTTCTGCAAGTTTAATGAAGGTTTAATTCAGCTAGAAAACACAAGATGGCGCTGAAGTAGAATTGAGTTCAAAGGTTAATTATTGTATTACAAATCACAAAAATTAATTATAAAAGCAATTGAAAAGTAATAAAAATTTATGTGTACAAAAATTTACATAAAATTTACAAAATAATCAATTTCAATCATAAATGCAAAAAAATATGAATGAAACGTTCAACTTTGATCTTTTTATCTCATCATTTCGTCGTGTCATCGTGTCCACTTCTGCGGATAATCTACTGAAATGGTTTTCACAATCTCATATATATTTTTTTTTAAATTATTATCAGCACAATTATCTTTCTTAATTTGCACTTGAAACGGTGTTAATACTATCAAATCAATCAATACAATCGATTTTATGTGCAATAATCGTTTAAAATCAATTGTTTTAAACAATGTTTTTGATATATATTCAATAAAATATACCCAGAGTTTTATTGAAAACATCAAATTTGTAGACTTCTTTCCTTCTTAGAAAAGTTAAATCTGTGATTCGCCAATAGATGCTGCTGCTATATTGGACTTTTCATATTATATAAGAATCGTTGACGATTTTGTTATAAATTTTAAAAATCATGAATAAAAACTTTTGAATTCAATTAAAAAGATTGAGAATAAAATTTAAATGATTAAAAAGTATTTAATGTTACAATTTTGTAATTAAAGTAATTAAAAAAAAAAGGTAAAATTAGATATTATAAATAATTAAAAACACTTATAATTATTATAATTTAATTGTAAATGAGAGCATGAAATAAGGGTTTATAAAATTATTTCAAGCTGAATAAAATGATCATATAAAACTACATTTTATAAAAATGATCGAAAAAGTAACAAATTTTAGTGACATTTTTTAGACTTTAGTTAAAAACACATACAATTATTCAATTAGTGAACAAAATAAAGTGTTATATAATTATTTCAAAGCAATAAAACTATGATTGAATATGAATAATTTCATGGCATGTGCGATTACGTTTTGATAATAAAAAAAAACGAGTAGTTATAAGTTGTTTTTTTTTGTTTAGATAACTAACCGTTATCATAAATCGTGTACGTAAGAACGTACATAAAAAAAAAGTGATTGATTTACTACAATCGAGTCGAATTTGCAAAAAATTATTAAGTTTTTATAGTGGAAACTTTTCTATACTTTTTATTTTTTTTTTCGTGAGTCGCGGCAAAGTCGAAATTCTACATTGTTTGAACGGAACGATGGTTAAGAGAGCGATTAGTCATCCGGAATATACGATAAGTAACGGTGATCAGAGATACACCGTAATAATTATTGGTCACTTTCTATGGTTGTTTAGAGACTCATTAGCAAAGCGTTCTGATAAGCGGATAACTACAAAATAGACAATAAACAATGGAGAATACAAGTTTGAAAATATGATGATAAAAATTTAATAATAATCATCATTTTTTCCTCATCGGCTTTTACGTGCACACATATTTTTTAATTTCTTAATACAATGGTTCAGGTAAGTTTTTAGTTCTTTTTTTTTCACTTATTTCTTACATTTTTTCTTTGAAATAAATTATTTAAAATAACTTTAAAATGTTCATTGTTGATGATATGATCAATAAGTAATTCGAAAATTGTCATCAATAATTGATTTAATTAATTTAATTACAAACTGAAAATCCATTAATTTTAATTTAATTAATTTTCACCGCAAATAAATAAATAATTAAATCATTTATGATTCAAAGCTTTATTTCAATTATTTATTTATTTTAAATTGAACTCAAATTGGTTTCGAATTGAACTCGATTCCTTTGCAATAATGTAACTATGCTTAATAAATTTAATTTAATTTTATCTTAATTCAATTCAATACTTTGACGTATATAATGATGCAATATAGTTTTATCCACATAGTTTACAAACAAACATAAATCAGAGGTTTATGAAATATTTATGAAATTTCCAAGTATTTCCATCAATTGATGGAAAATCCCAATCAAAAAATGTGCTGTTTCTACACGTCATTAGGATTTCGTAGAACAGGATTTGCTTACTTTTTTTTTACTTCTAATATTGACTAAATTAATCACAAATGTATTCTAAAATTGTACATAAATTACAGAAAAAAAAACTGTTAGTTTAAATTTTCACATCTTCTCGTGTCCCGGGTTTAAAAATCTCTGGATTATCTCGTAGTTAAATCGTTGTGGAGTCTTATGATTATTGAATGCAATATTCTTAATTAGTTTTATTATACACATCAGAGTTTTTATTGAGAAGTCAACTACACAAAAGTTGATCTCATGCATTATTAACTAAAAGTTACTTTCTCTTCTTAAGTTAATAATTACGAAGCAAGGGTTTTTCCAAGTAAGACCATGTTTTCACTAAGACTAAATTATATAAGACAAAAAAATGTGTACATTTCAAAATACAACCGTTTCTTTATCTAAGTTTTATGATTCAATAAAAAACGATTTAATGTATAACCGTTCTTCGGAATATTTATACTAAATAATCACGTACAAGTATCAAAGTTTGTATATTTGTGAAATATGATTTGTAATAATTAAGAGGAAAGTGGTAGACCTAACAAATATACATATTAATTATACAATCTTTTGACTTAAGGATTTTTGAGAATTCTTTGAATTTAATGTTCTTTGTATTTAATAGTAATTAAATGTTCTTTAACAAAAGAAACCTTGATTTCTCTTGTTATCACGACTTCTTTTCAAATGTAAATTATCAAGCCAAATTTCATTAATCTTTTTACACATGAGGAAACAAGTAATTAAATAAATACTTGATGATTAACAATTGATAAATTACTTGGCAAGTATCGCGCATTTGACTACAAACAAACCATTATTTGCAAGCGAATGTCAAGGAGATGAAAACGCAAGCATGCAAAATGTAATCTGTGACCATTAGCGAATTAACAAACTAATAAAGATAAAACGAGCGGTGGAACTGCAGGAAATGCAATCGTCTGAGAAACATGAACGCGTTTGGTAACAACAAAAATAAAATTAAGATTAAAACAATTCCTACTATTTGCCGATAGATATCTGCAATCTCAGGAATCTGACAATAATCAAAAGCAAAGTGTGTGTTCGCGTGAAGTGCGGCAACTATTCGTAATTAAAGTTTATCTCATTAAATCTTCGCATCATTATCTACCTGTATTATCTTTTTTTTATATATATATATATATATTCTTTATCACGAAAAATGTAATATAAAGAATTTAATAATAATGAACAAAAAAAAATGTGTTTAATGTGCTGAAATTATTGTGTATCGGTTCAGTCGGTCGTAGGTGGTCTAGCTAGTAAGGTTGATTGGGGATTGAGGAATTTATTGAAACAGAAATTGTAGAATATGGGACAGGTATGGCGACTTTATCTGATTAGACGATTGCTTAATATTAATGTAGATAAGAGCTGCATTGCTTGCAGTATAAAAAAATGTGTTAATAATATGGATGTAAATTTGTTTATTAGTCGGATGGAGTCGTGCCGGAAAGAGCGAGCTGGAACAAACCCTTGGAATTCGTCCTTTCGTGCCTCGGATACGCGGTTGGCCTTGGAAATGTCTGGAGGTTTCCCTACCTCTGCTACCAGAATGGAGGAGGTGAGTTTCCTTACAGAAATCAGATTCAATTAGAGCAAACAACAATTTCAGAAAAAAAATAAAAAATAAATAAAATAATTCGCGATGAAACGATAAGATAATGCAATATTGTAATGTATCGAGGGGAAATAATAACGCCATTAAAAAGTCTGGTATCGCTTCTGATAAATCGGCTTCTGTTTAAACCCCTTGATTTATCGACGGTCGTCCGCAATATTGGCCCTTCTTCTCGCTCCTTCCTACAACCGATCCAGACATTATCCTTACATTATATCCCTTTTATTACATCATCTCCGGGCCGTCGGATAAATCAAAACTCGGCGGAAACTTGCATTAAAAACTTTTTCGATATTATCTCTTTCGCGTGTGCGCGCTCTTTTTCTTTTATATCACAGGAGGAAGTCTTCTCGCGCGTTAATAGCTAACATATTTCTTCGTTCGTCCCTTTTATATTTCATTTTATTACACTTACACTTATTGTTGTTTCGCGTTTCAAGTGCCAGATAATCGCACGAAAGTAACGTTCGATACCGAATCTCGATCGAACGATAACGAGAGACGCCGCCGCCGCCTACAATCTCCTCCAGATTGTATTCACAAAAAAAAATTTCGTAATGTAATATTTATTTATTTATCTCATCTTTTTTTTCGTCACTCTATTTATTTACTCTCTCCAGATGCAATAAAAGAAAAACAATAAAAATTAATGATGTTCCAACAAATTGTAACCTTGTAACTTAGAATTTTACATAACTATTCGTTTTTGAAATAATCGTTTGTATATGTAAATAAAGAAAAAATGTAATCAATCAAAAGTTATAAATTAGTTCAAAAGTTCTAGTTTTTATCTAAGTTTTAGGATAATTTGGTTAAAGTATATTAGGTTTATATTGGGTTAGTAAAGTTTGGATTAGCTTGGTTTACATTTATTTCATAAATAATGTAAGTTATTGTCTACTTGAAAAAGTAAGATTAGCTTAACTTACGTAATTTTAGGTTAATTTGGCTTAAAGTCAAATTAAATTTGATTTAGATTGGGTTAGTTTTGTTTGTTTTGCTTTAAGTTTAGATTTAATTTACAAAAATATGTCAATAAACAAAAAATACGATGAATTAGAACTTTTAAATTAGTTTAGAAGTTTTAGTTCTTGTCCATGTAAGAAAGTAAGGTTAGGTTAGTTTACATTTATTAGTTAATGGTAGTTTTTGTTTTGCTTTAAGTTTAGATGGAATTTACAAAAATAAGTCAATAAACAAAAAATGCATAAATTAGAACTTTTAAATTAGTTTAGAAGTTTTAGTTCTTGTCCATGTAAGAAAGTAAGGTTAGGTTAGGTTAGGTTAGTTTACAGTTCTTAGTTAATGGTAGTTTTTGTTTTGCTTTAAGTATAGATGGAATTAAAAAAATAAGTCAAGAAACAAAAAATGCATGAATTAGAACTTTTAAATTAGTTAAGAAGATTAAGATTTTGTCCATGAAAAAAAAAGTAAGGTTAGGTTTGGTTACAGTTAAATTATATTAGATTTATATTGGGTTAGGTAAGTTTTTGTTTTAATTTGCTTGTATTACCATTCTTATTTAAATAAGTTAAGGTTAGATTAGTTATATAAGTTTAGATTGGGTTAGGTTAGGTTAGATTTGATTTTTTTTATTAAGTTAAGTAAATTAAGGTTAGATTATTTATCTAATCTAAGCTTATCTTAACTTCTCACAACTTAAGTAGATTTGATTAAATGAAAACACGTATATTTCTTCATGTTTTTTTTTGAGTGAAAGTTTGTAATTAAATATTTAGTGAAATAGAAATACAAATTTTTGATTAAATTTATTAATTTTTTGAAGAGAAATAATTATAATTTGTTTTCTGTAATTATTATATAAATACATAAAGAAATTATTCACGTAATTAATGAATTTATATAAGAAAATATGGAAATTTGGAGCAACTACAATAGTTGTTTTATTACCAAATAATGTTGTTTGTCGCTTATACATTTTTTTAATTTATTTATTATATTGCATTATATTTACTTTTACAAATTAAAATAAATGCTTTAAATTATTAGGAAACAACAAATAATAATAGTTTCAAATGCTATCGATAATTGGAGAATTCATTGGATTATTCGCCCCTAAAAATTGTATATATTTTTAATTATCAACGTATTATTTATTTGTCTATGTATTAACAAACGTCACAAATATTTGCTTAATCCCATTTACGCAATTCTATCTCTATCTACTTCCAAACAGTTTTGAAAACAAAGTAAGCGTGCGAATAATCCACACTTTGTTCTTATCTAATATATATATTTTTTTTTATTGACAACTCGAAGTACGTTGATTTTATGGAAGTAAACAACATTTATTAATTTGTATACACAATGTAAGCATACGAAATATTAAATAATAATAATTTAATGAAACATTTATTGAAATTAGTATCGATAAGATAAAATAATTAAGAAAAAATTTAGACGAATTATTGCAACAACAAGATTTCAAAAGATTCATTATTAATATGAACAAAAATTACAACAATTTTAATCACAATTCGAAACACATAAATATTTATGTAATTTTAAAGAAAATGTTATATAAATTTTTTGTAATTATTTATCAGTTACGTCTTCTATTTATATCTTTAGTGTGTATCGAAATCTGAATTGTTATGTTTATTATCTTTTGCGTGATGAAAATAATTTTTGTTGTTGTTATGAAAAAAACATCACAATTCAAACAAAAATTAATCTTGTTGCTTTTGTAATCATAATTGTTTTTTTTTTGTTTATCTAATGTTTGCAAGAAAAAGTGACTTGATCAAAACACAAATGCTTTCATAATAATATTTACAAATAAGTGCGAAAGCATTCTGTTTAGTTGTTAATTTAGTTTGTCTAAAATTGTAATTTTCTCATAGCAGGAATTTGGGAAAGTTTTCTTAATCATAATTTAGTTACACAAATTACGAATCAAAATTTTGTTATTCATGCTTATTGTATTGTATAGTATAAATTCCACTTTCTTAATCATACTTCTAATCATTGTTTTTGTTTGTCTACAAAGTGCGAAATCCTCAAAATGGTGAATAAAAAAAAAATTTCGTAATCGCACTTAATTACTGTTTTGGTTCGTCTAATATTTACAAGATTCCGCAAAACAGAAATTGTGCATACAATAGACTTTAATCTGCGGCTATTGTAATCCGTCGACGCCAATTAAGTAGTTTAGATAAGATCCGATTTTTCGTACGTAATAAAGATCTGTATTGTTAAATCACTTTCTGGATGACATCCGAAGTGTCCGATAAGGCTATAATCTTATGTTATCTAATCCGAAGATCTTCATTTGCAGGTGCGTTTCTGGTTGCATACTTCATCATGCTGATCGTGATGGGATTGCCGATTTTCCTGCTGGAATTGGCTTTAGGTCAGTACACGGGTTTGGGACCTGACGAAGCCTTCACCAGGATCGCACCGATCTTCAACGGAATTGGATACTGCACGTTGGTGGTGATCACGTTGGTCACCATTTACTATATGGTGATCATAGCTTGGACGATCTTTTATTTCTTCGCTTCGTTCACTTCGGAGCTGGATTTCGGGTCTTGCAGTAACGAATTCAATACTAATGGTTTGTTGTGGAAATGTACGTTTATTGATTGATTGATTGATTGATTTGGTTTGTAGGGTGTTACAGTGTGGTTGAGGATTCGAAATGCGGAGAAACCGAGACGTTCTACAACAAGACTTGCACGTCGATCGAAGTGATTTGCGCTAATAACGGTGGTTATTTGAATAAGACTTATTGCAAGGGTGAAGGGGACGTTCCGGAGCATCTCAGCAAAGTCATCAAGGACAGACAGTTGGCCACGTACGAGTATTTCAACAATTACGTGCTGGGCGCGGACGAGGCGAGCTGGGAGAACTTCGGCGGGTTACGGTGGCAGCTCGTGTTGTGCCTATTGTTGGCTTGGATAATCGGATATATGTGCGTCGTGAGGGGCGTGAAGAGCTCCGGCAAAGCCGTCTACTTCACCGCATTATTTCCGTACGTCATGCTAACCGTCCTGGTTATCGTCGGATGTACTCTGGATGGAGCCGTCGACGGCATCCTTCTGTACATCAAACCGGATTGGGAGAAGCTTTTGGAGGCGAAGATGTGGGGAAACGCAGCGTCACAAACGTTCTACTCCTTTGGAATCGGTTGCGGATCTCTGATCACCCTATCGTCTTACAGCGATTTCAAGAATAACTGCCTGAAAGATGCCATCATCGTTGCGGCCGCGAACGCTTTCACCTCGATCTACGCAGGATTCGCGATATTCTCCATGCTCGGGTTCTTGGCCTTCAAACTCGACGTTCCTGTCGCCGAAGTCGCGACGGACGGACCCGGTCTAGCTTTCGTCGCTTATCCAGAAGCTCTGCTGCAATTACCTGTACCGACGGTCTGGGCTTTGATTTTCTTCTTCATGCTCTTCATCTTAGGCTTGGGCAGTCAATTCGCTGGAATCGAGGCAATCAGTACCACGATCTTGGATAGATGGCCGCACCTCCGTAAACGCCAAGTCTTCGTCACGCTCGGCATATGCATCTGCTGTTTCCTACTGGGATTACCCATGTGCTGCAACGGAGGCATCTTCATCTTCACCTTGATGGAATGGAACACGGCTTCGTGGGCCATCCTCTTGATCGGTTTAGCCGAAGTCGGATCCGTCGCCTGGGCGTACGGCTGCAACAGATTCCTGGACAACATCGCCGAGATGGGAATGGAGCTCCGCAAACCGGCGAGATGGTTCTGGTGGACTTGCTGGTGCATCATCACACCAATCGCTTTACTAGTAATCCATCCCATCAATCCACTATACCAATTAATGTACTAAACTTGCAGGGCGTTTTCGTCTTCCAAATGACAACGTTCACCTTAGCCTCGTACGAGGACTACACGTTTCCACCTTGGGCCGACTCGCTGGGAATCATGATGGGCGTAGCCACCTTAATCCCCTTACCTTTGTTCGCAATCTACGCCCTATTCAAATACAAATACGTAATTAAAACGTGCCCTCACAAACTACATTCACTCAGATTTTTTTTAATTTTCTCTTTCCAGTCCGGATGGGAATGGTTCCAACCTACAGACGCCTGGGGACCGCAAGCCTCCAAATCCGAAAGCAACCAAACTTTGAGCGACACCTTGGAAGCGCCGATCGAAAAATTTTAAACGAATACTCAAATTCTTCCCAAACCAATTTAAAAAAACTATATTTATTTATCTGTTTTGAAATGTACAATTATTCTGTATATTTGTAAATACAATATTTTTGTTTGTTTCTTTTTCTATATACGAAGTAGAAGAACGTCTCTCAACTTCATTAAATTTTTAATTGAAATCAATTCGACACAGATTGAGAAACGCTGATGTTGAGATCAACACAGTTTTATGTTGGGAAGATGAAGGGAGTGGATTAACCCGGTTTCAATCTGAAAACAAACCGCAGGGATTATATCAGGCTTCCATCAGACCAATGATACACCCAAACTGTATACGACCTAAGCGAAGATGGGAAAACTAATAATACAACATCCTATTTTATATAACTATACACATATTGGACACGATGGAAAATACCAGCTTCATTCGATTTATGCTAATTGCATTGACGTCCGCTTCATTACAGAAACTTATTACGCTCTTCAATCGAAAACCCATCACCCTCCCAGGAGCGTACGCGAAGTTCGCTTCGAACCTTTTGATCACAGACTCTCTCCGTAAAATCAATAAAACACTACAAGTATTAAAGCAATTTCTATACTTACACTCTCCCAATTTATTAATTATTTCTTACAGTAACTTTTGATGTAGATGAATTATCCTTCCCTTCAATAACAGATCACATTAACACACTACAAGGGCGACAGACAACCAGAATCTTCACACGCAACCATCACACCAAATCCCTCTTTGTTTCTCCACCAACAGCTTCACTGTGCAAAAGACCTAAAAATAAAATCCCTTTCCCAGACATACTGTCCTTTCTGGACACTATAAACCCGAAATTCCTTAAAAATAATGATTAACTACTATTAACACTCTGTACAATTAATTAAGAATTTATTTTTTTATATAACTATTTCTATTAACCGCTAAAATGTAATGGCTCAAAGAGCTTAAGCTCGCAAAAAGCCACAAAACTAACTAATGTAATAACTCTGTAACACCCTAAACATAATAAAAAGAATTTAAAATTGAATTGAATGTAGATGAAGAATTATTATTTAATTGATTGATATGTATGTTCATGTGGTAGAGATAGATAATTAGTGGCGTGTCGATGATGGAAGTCTTCGGCAGTCTTTCATAATGCGAACTTCGTTGCGACATTGAAATAAATTATGGTAATGCGATGCATCATAATGCATCATGCGATGATGGCCATTAGCTAAAGCCCGGCTCTAACAGATGCTCAACTATTCATCATGGGACGGTTGCACGGAGATGCGCGTCGCCGGGAAAAATAAAACATGCAAAAAGATGATAATAATAATACTAATGGTAATGCTCTTCGAAATAATGATAAAGTAACCCGAAACTGGGGGTATAATTTATTATGCAATTGTGTTTAGTGTATAATTCAGTTGGAATTATATTATCCTGCTTGAAATACGAGGCGGAAATGCGATAAAATTAGGCCGTATAAAATTCGTGCATAAAAAAGGATATGATCGTAATTGTGATATCAAAAAAAATGTCGTACGTTTTAACGTATTGTCTTTTGAATTTAGGTTCTAAGGATTGTGAGGGATGAACTGAAGATTGTGGTGGTGGTGGTGATGATGTTAAGGGCTAAATGCTGTTGCTTCTGGGACATTTCGCACGTCCATTATAATTCATAGCCGCCGAATTCATGCGAATTATTTCCCCGTCTTGAGTAAACTTTGGGACCGGGCGTTCGGAAGATTTACGGGCGGCAGTTTGTGAATAGTTCCAAAGGCGCTTGTATTTCCTGCATGCCACATGTTGCTGATCTCTGCCGCTCTTTCTCTTTTGCTCTCTTGATTTCTGTCGACGTCTGTTGCCTTTTCCTGCATCTCCGGAACCCAAAGGGGCTTTATCACATTTACACGTCATATTTCTTGTTCGGCCGACGACGCACGACCACCGTCTTGACACAATCAAATCATCTTTACGGGCAAAATTTAGTGCCATCAAACAAAAAAGGAAAGATCAGAGTCTAGATCTCAATAAAGTCAATATACTGAGCAAAAGACAAATACGTTCATAATTTCATTAAAATTACTTATTTAACGTTGCGTTCTAACTTTAACTAATCCTAATTAGAACATAATTACAAAAATAATGTCAAAATTATGACTTTTCTAATAAGCCTAATTCGATTTGTATTCTCCGTTTTCTTATAATAAACTGTCAAAGTTGAACAGTGAAATGAGACCTACAAAAGCCAAGTTTTCACCTATTATTTAACTACTCAATAAGTGCCTCAACAATTACATTATCTAATAAGCAAATTAAATATGAAACTATGGTCTTTCTAATGAGATTTTTTCATAAAAGGAACGCGCATTACAGCAATATGGATAAGAGCACAGTAATATATCGATACTTGCTAGATTCCCCAAACATTCAGCTTTCATATGCATCTATTGGCTTCATTCTATCCATTATAGTTTTCGAGTAAATCAATGAAATGTAAAAACACTGGTTTTTCGAACATTTTTTTAACTTTGAACACGAATTACAGCCAAACTTCTAAAACCACAATAATATATGAATACTTGCTAGATTCCCCAAACATTCAGCT